GGCATCTGCTGGGTTTCCCTGGAGGGGGATCTTGTGCCCCCGGGGGCTGGGGGAGAGTTTTTATGTGAGTTTTTATGTGAGTTTTTGGGGGGCTCCCAAGTGGGAGTGGATGAGTGAGGGGTTCCAGGTAATTTCGGGGGACATCTTTGTGGGGGGCTGCGCTGCTGGGGGGCTGTGGTATTGGGGTGTCTGTGGTATTGGGGTGTCTGCGGTATTGGGGTGTCTGTGGTGTTGGGGTGTCTGTGGTATTGGGGTGTCTGTGGTGTTGGGGTGTCTGCGGTATTGGGGTGTCTGTGGTGTTGGGGTGTCTGCGGTATTGGGGTGTCTGTGGTGTTGGGGTGTCTGTGGTATTGGGGTGTCACAGCACAGGTGGATCAGGATAACGAGGCCTTGGGGTGCCTGGCCTGTAAGGCGCTGAGATTTTGTGGTGTCAGATGTTGGAGGTATTAGGGGTTATTTGGGGTGGATTTTGGGGCTGCGTAGATTTTGGGGTTCCACAGCTCTGGGGGAGGAGGGGGGTTTGAGGTGCCAGAGTTTTGGGTGGGTCTGGGTGCCAGGATTTGGGGTACCAGKGATTCAGTGTAGGGAGATTGGGGTACTTGGGGGTTGAGCTTTGGTGGTGCTGAGGTTTGAGGTGCCACAGTTTAGGTGTGCCAGCTGTTCCGCTTGCAAAGGTTGGGGGTACCAGAATCTGGATTTTGAGGTGCCAGAGTTTAGGAGTTTGTGGTGCTGGACTCCAGTGAATTTGGGGAGTTTTRGAGTGTTGGGGTGCCAGTGTTTGGGGCTTTGTGGGTGCCAGCGTTTTGGGGTCTTTGTGAGTGCCATGTTTGGGTGTGTGCCAGTTGTTTGGGGTTACTGAGGCTTTGGGGATATCACGGTGTTGGTGTCTGGGGGTTTGGGGGTGCCGGCGTTTTGGACTGTCGGTATTTGGGAGTGTCCGTGTTTGGGTGTGCCAGTGTTTGATGTTACTGAGGTTTTAGGGATGTTGGAGATTTAGGGGTGCTGATGTCTGCGTCTTTTCGGAACTGCCGGGGTTTGGGGGTTCCGGGGGTGCCGGGATTTGGGGGTGTCGAGGTCCGGGAGTGCCAAAGTCCGGGGGTCCGGGGTGTGCTGGGATCCGGGGTTTCGGGATCCCAGCACAATGGGTGAGTGTTCAAGGGGTGAGTGTGCCAGATTCCGGGGTTTTGGGGGCGCCGGAGGGCGAGATTTGAGGGGAGCCGGAGTCAGCAGGTCCGAGGTTTGGGGAGTGCCGAAGTCCGGGGGTTTTGGGGGTGCCGGTGTCTGGGGGTCCGGGTGTGAGGCCGGGGCTATAAATAGCGGCGGCCGGGCCCCCCACCCCCGACCGTTCGGGCGGTCTTTCCGTCCCTGCGGGTCGGTCCCTCCCCGGGACGGGGCGGGCCGGGCCGGGGCAGCGCTTAAAGCCGCCGCCGCTCTCCGGCCCCGCCACTTGCCGCCGCCGCCCCGGGCCCGGGACCCCCCCCGGGACGCATCGCGAACACACGGGACCCCATTGCGAACCGCCGCTCCGGGAACTCATCGGGAACCGCCCTCGGGAACCCACCGGACACCCCCATCCCTCCGGGACCCGCCGCTCCGACCCGGGAACCCACCGGGAACCAGCCCCTCTACCGGGAACCAACCCCTCTCCCGGGAACCAGCCCCTCTACCGGGAACTTGCACCGGGACAGAGCCGTCCCCCGACTCGGGAACAGGGACCCCTACCCGTGACACCGCCCCCGAGCAGCGAGCCCCTCTCGGGACACTGGGACTGGAACGGACCCCAGCCCCAGGCAGCCGTGCTGACCCGGGAGCCAGGACCCTCCCCGTGTTCCGGGACTGACCGATGATTCCGTCCCCCATCGCCTGGACCTTTTATCTCTTCCTAGCCGGGACAGCAGCTCTGACCCAGGACACCGTCCCCGATCCAGGACACCGTCCCCGATCCAGGACACCGTCCCCAATCCAGGACACCGTCCCCGATCCAGGACACCGTCCCCAGCACCGGCTTTGCCTCTGGGACCCAGAACCCCCATCCCGGACACCCATATTGACCCCGGACCCCCCAGGACACCGACACTGATTTGGGACCCACACCCGCCATACCAGGATCGCTTCAGGACACTGGGACTAACCCAGCACCAGGAGTGACTTGGACTCCCAGCCGGGCACCAGGAGTGCCCCAGGACCTCCCCCCGCACCCACCCAGGACCTTCCACACCCCCCAGCACCCCSTGCTCACCGAGGACCCCCCAGCTCCTCCACAATGAACTCTACGTACGAGGTGGCACCGGGCGAGGACCCCGAGGAGCTCCCGGCCACCGAGAAGGACCTCGCAGAGGACGCGCCCTGGAAGAAGATCCAGCAGAACACGTTCACCCGCTGGTGCAATGAGCACCTCAAGTGTGTGCAGAAGCGCATCGTGGACCTGCAGCGCGACCTGAGCGACGGGCTGCGCCTCATCGCGCTGCTCGAGGTGCTCAGCCAGAAGAAGATGGGGCGCAAGCACCACCCGCGCCCCAATTTCCGCCAGATGAAGCTGGAGAATGTCTCGGTGGCCCTCGAGTTCCTGGARCGGGAGCACATCAAGCTCGTATCCATTGGTGAGTGTGCCAGGGGTGTGTGTGGGGGGAATGGTGTCCATGGACGGGTGTGCAAGGGGTGGGTGAGGGGCGAAGGGCGAGTGTGCAAGGGCGGGGGCAGTGGTGGGGCAGTGGGAATGGGGTGACTGAGAGAACAGAGGGCCGAGGATGCGGCTGGGGGTGAGCACACGAGGGCGAGGCCAAGGACAAATGAGAATGGGGAATGAGTGTGCAAGGGCAGGCGTGATGGAGGGCAGGGGTGGACAAGTGAGGTGGATGAGTGTGTAAGGGGAGGTGATGGGTGAGTGTGAATGGGATGAGTGCGAGGGTGGGGGATGGAGGAGTGAGAGTGAAGGATGTGTGCAAGCTGCTGGACAAATGGGGATGGGCCCGTGGGYGAGTGTGCAAGAGTAGGGTGATGGATGAATGGGAATGGAGGATGAGTGTGCAAGAGTGAGGCCGAAGGAGAGATGAGAATGGGGATGAGTGTGCCGGGGGAGGAGTGACAGAGGAGCAGGATGAGTGTGCAAGAGCAGTGGAGGAATGGGGATGGCGCTGAGTGTACAAGGCTGGAGGCAACGGTGGGGCTGCGGACGAGTGTGCAAAGGGTGAGTGTGCAAGGGGTGAGTGTGCAAAGGGTGAGTGTGCAACGGGTGAGTGTGCAAGGGGTGGGTGTTCAAGGGGTGAGTGTGCAGGGAGTGAGTGTTCAAGGGGTGGGTGTTCAAGGGGTGAGTGTGCAGGGGGTGGGTGTGCAGGGGGTGAGTGTGCAAGGGGTGGGTGTGCAGTGGGTGAGTGTTCAAGGGGTGAGTGTTCAAGGGGTGAGTGTGCAAGGGGTGGGTGTGCAGGGGTGGGTGTTCACACCGCGCTCTGTGGGGCCGTGCGGAGCCCGTGCGGGGCTGAGCTCACGCTTGGCTCGGGTCCGGCTGAGCTGGGCTGAGCTGAGCTGAGCTGAGCTGAGCTCAGGGGGGTCCGGCCCCTCGCAGTCCCGCTCACCCCTGGCGGGGCCCCTTTGCCCACCCCCACCCGACAGCTGCACCGTGACCCCCCCGGCACGGGGAAGGCTTTGCAGCCCCCCCGCACGCACACCGTGCACGGCCCCTTTGCACACCCAGACCCAGGGGTCACCGCTCCCTCCCCACGCGGGGCTTTGCCCTCTCCGTGACCCCCCAGATGTGACCCCACGTTTTGGGGACCTCCCAGGTGCTGTTGTCCCCCGCCGGAGCTCCCAGCGGGGAGGGMTTTGTCTCGCCCCCTCCCACATCTCCCCCGTTTCCTCCCGAAACACGATCGCTCGTGGGGGGAAGGGGCGGGGGAGGGTCCGCTCCGCAGGGCGGTGGGGGAGGGACCGGAACCTCGGGTCCCCCTTCCCATCCCCCCCCAGGGGACTGAGCCGTCCCCTGCCTCAGTTTCCCCATCCTGGTACTCCAGGAATCCCGTGGGGAGGTCAGGGGTGTGGGGATGGGATCACCCCAGGGTGTCGGGGGGGACCCTCAGGGTGCTGACTTGGGGACCTCCCCGGTGCTCCAGGGTGGAATGTTGGGGTCTGCAGGGTGTGGGTGCTCGGGGCAGTGTCCGGGGTGGTCGGGGTAGCCCCAGGCCCCTAACAGCGACCCCTCTTTAGCCCCAGGGTGTCCCCAGGCACRTGTTGGGGTGCAGGGCCCCGTGGCAGTGCTGTGGGTGTCRGGGTGACCYGAAACYGTCGTGGGGTCTGCCCTGTTCCGCTGTGGGACATCGGGGTGTCGGGGTCCCTGCGGTGGTGCTGTGGGGTTTTGGGGTGCCCCAGGASGSTCATCCCGTTATCCCTCCCTTCCCGCAGACAGCCGGGACAGGGCCCTGGAGCTGATCCCGGGGTTGGGGCTGTCAGGGTGCGGGGGTCCCCCAGCGGGTCCCACACGATGTCGGGGTGCCCTGGGGAGAGTCCCCAGGGATCTCGAGGTTCAGCCCCCCCATTTCTGCCCCGCAGACAGCAAGGCGATCGTGGATGGGAACCTGAAGCTGATCCTGGGGCTGATCTGGACCCTCATCCTGCACTATTCCATCTCGATGCCGATGTGGGAGGAGGAGGAGGACGATGAAGGCCGCCGCCAGACCCCCAAGCAGCGGCTGCTGGGCTGGATCCAGCACAAGGTGCCGCARCTGCCCATCACCAACTTCAATCGCGACTGGCGCGACGGGAAAGCGCTGGGAGCGCTGGTGGACAACTGTGCCCCGGGTGAGGAGCGGGGCTGGGCCAGGAGTGGGGACACGGGGGGCGTGGGAGGGACAAACGGGGGGAATCTGCACCCCCAGTGAGCGGGGAGCAGCGGCTGAGAGGGGCTGAGAGGGGCTGAGAGGGGCTGAGAGGGGCAGGGGCAGGGGGCAGCTGGCCGGGGCAGGGGGAGGTACCTGGTCCAGGCTGGCTCGGGGGGCACTGATGGAGTTGTTGGGGGGTACTGGGCACAAAAGGGAGGTGGTGCAGGATGGGGATCAGGATGGGTGTCCACCCCTGACCTTTCTGACCCCTSAAGGTCTGTGCCCGGACTGGGAGAAGTGGGACCCCAACGAGCCGGTGCAGAACGCTCGGGAGGCCATGCAGCAGGCAGACGACTGGCTGGGGGTTCCCCAGGTACGGGGCACGATGGGGGACACCGGGGACACTGGGGACACTGGGTGTGGGGCACGGGGGAGGCACTGGCGGTCACCCAGGTATGGAATGTGGGGGAGGAACGTGGGGGTGCTGGGGGAGGACACTGGGGGTGTCTGAGGGGGTGTCTTTGGGTTCCCTGGGCATTTGGGGTACCCCTGGATGCCGTTGGGTGTTGTAGGGGTGTGCA